TATGCTATTCCCAGCATCGATCTGTAGAACACCATTTCTGTTGCTTTAAGTCTCTCTTCCATCTGTGAGGAGATTTTACAGCATTCGCTGCGATATAGGAGGATTAATATTATTTAACAATATAGTGCTATTTTCTTTGTTTCAAACGAATATTTTCTGTTTCTTAATACTTTGCTTAACTTTTCGAAGGCCTTTTTTCGATTAAAACATCATCTATGAAAGGCGCGCCCACAAGACATGCGAGGTTGTAACCAAAGTTGGCGCGTTATCAAGATGAGTCAGAAATCTCTGAATTCTAATCCCTCCTATATTCTCAAACATTTCTGATAAAATGTCTTGTGTACTTATTACCCGTAATTGTCTTAAATGACTTCAATTTTCAGATTAATTATTTTCAATATTAATTCATGATTTGACTTTTATTTAAACGGTCATAGGCTATTCGATTTAGAAAGTTGTGATGAAAAAAATGAGTTTAAAAAACGACCAAGTATAATTAAAACCAAATCGTTACAAATTTTGTGTGAAAGACAGCAGAAATAATCGATTTTATATTCTAAGTGCAAATGAAGTCGATCACCTTATATATTTTGCAATGTTTCTGTACCCCTGCCCATTTCACCAGCGTGCAATAACCCAAGACAGAAAATTAATACCTTTGTAGCTGCGAAGTTTTGGTTTGTTATAGTAAGAAATGATACAATCACAAGTCCTCCCTCTATGTCGCAACATGGATATTTTGGTGCCCTAAGAAATACTATCCCTAAAATTTTCCAAATTTCACGTTATTCTATACGGAGCACATTTCATAAATATAATATTACACAGGTGTTCGTAGATGAATGTTTTAGCCCATTAAAAAATTTTCAGAGACCAAAATTTTCTGGTAAGCTTATTAACATCAATAATTATTCCTAACAAGGTAGATGATATGTGAAAAACTTCTAATTACTACGTGACTGATAAAATACGGTCGAGTGTTGTTTAATTTTTTTTTAATCTGTAAGTATTTACTGCTATTACTCCTAAATACACCCTTGTGCAAATTAATTGAAAAAAAAGTTTCCTTTTTCACCATACGGTCAGTTTTAGAACCACTAGAGAGACAGGGTATAATTGGTTAGTATTTTTCCTCAGATTACGTTATTTTCAGTAGTGTGCAGTAATATGAATCTATTTTCAGGATATATAATGGAATTTGTTTGGCCTCGAAAATATTGCGTCATCCGTGATTGCATCAAATTCTCATCACGCCCAGACTCTACTGTTTCGATTGTCGACTCTACTATTTTGACTGTCGATTAGTTTCATACGGCCATTGTCTGCGATGGACGTTACTCCAAGGAAGCCTACGAAAATTGTAACGCTGCACGAACACACTGGCAAGCCTTACCAGTGAGCAGATTAGAGTACGAGAGGCTTACCCGGAAACTCTCATTATGTAAATCCAATCAAGAATTTGTGGTCAGTCTGCCAGGAAAGTCTTCGTGGAATGGTCATACGAAGTACTAAAATGTGCACTGAGTCATATTTCATTGGAAAAATAAGAAAAAAAGTAAATAATAACGGAATTATTTGTTTGGTTTCAATTAATTTGGACAAGGATGAAGGAGGGAATGCCGAACAATCTGCTCACAGATGAACATGAGAATTGAAGCAAAAAATGTGCTGCTAAAGAAGAATGCTGAGGATACCATGGATCGAAGCGACACTTGAAATTTCTAGGACACATAATAATGAAAGGAGGGTTTAGAATTTTTGATACTCAAAGGAGATATTGAAGGCAAGAGGGACAGAGTAATACCATGGAAAGAGCATGAGAGAGAAAAACAAGGAATAATTAAGAATAATCTCAAAAATAAGGAAATGGCTTTGAAAGTATCAGGAATAAGCTGAGAATTATAGGAGACATCATAAGGAAGGAGGGTTTAGAACATTTGATACTCAAAGGAGAGATTGAATGCAAGAGGGACAGAGGAAACCATAGAAGGAGGATGAGAAAGAAAAAGAAGAAATGATTAAAAATAATCTCAAAAATAAAAAAATAGCGTTAAAAATATCAGGAATAAGCTGAGACATAATAAGGAAAGAAGGCTAAGAACATTTGATACTCACAGGACAGATTGAAGGAAAGAGGAACAGAGGAACACCAGGGAAAGTGGATGAGAGAGAAAAAGAAGGAATGATTAAAAATAATCTCAGAAATAAGGAAATCGTGTTGAAAATATCAGGAAGAAGGTGAAAATTCCAGAACACATAATGAAGTAAGAAAGCTTCAGTCACTAATGTGCCATGCGTGACACACGTTTAGGCGATCATGTATCTTTCGGTATATGACTAACGAGGCAGAATTGTTCCCGCAGTCGGTTGCCATTTCTTTCTGCGGTAGACCAGTTGCCTTAGATGTGGATAGGAGAAGAGGCTTCATAACTTTCCCAAGGGTATTAGCTGCATCTAATTGGAATTCGAACTCGGCTCTATCCGAATCGCTATGAATTTAATATTCCCAGTGCTTATTCAAGACAAAAGAAAAAAAGCTTGTATCTGATTTTAGGAGCCTATGTGAAAAGATAACAAAGTAAAGCGTCAAGAATTACTTCGAGCAGCAAGTGATGGCAAGTTGTAGATAACCACCATCTTCCAAGTCATGAAATGAAAAGACATAAGAAAAAAGGTGAAAAAAGATACATTATTTACACTATTCGGACTATTGTCCTCTTTGTCGCCATATTTATTAAAACGTTTCGGCCGTTGTACGCTCCGGCCTTCCTCAGGTGGTTGGAATGTCGAACTGAACTCTTTATTTCGCTCACTGGAGTAGACTGTTCTAGCCAAAAAGTTGTAATATGGCGACAAAGATGAGGACAATAGTCCGAATAATGTAAATAATATACATAATACCTCATCTCAGAAATAAAGACAGATACAGAAATGAAGAGACATAAGCGAGAAGGTGAAAAAAGATATTTATGGTAAATTATCCTGTTGGTTTGTTTTACGGCATATCAACACTGTCAAGGTTTTTATTGCTGGTACATTTTTCAAAAATGTATTGCTGGTAATAGTTTTTTTTTCTTTAAAAATATATTGCTCGTAAGAGTTTTTTCTTCAAAAATGTATTGCTGCTATTTTTTTTTACAGACTGTGTAGCTGGTATTTTTTTTCGAAAATGTATAGCTGGTATTAAAACCAATTTTTACACTTTCATAGTGTTTTGATCCCATTTTGGTGTTAACCATTTGCCCATAGCTGTGACCCTAACAGATAAAGGTGGACCTGGAGACACACGCAGTTAACACACGCTCCTCCAAGCCTTCTGATTAGAGGCCTTGCTGACAGATAAATTTATCGTCTTATCCAGGATACGGATGTAGTTTATCCTCATAACTAGGCCGGTAAGTTATCCGGAAACGGTGTATTACGGATATTAGTGTGAATCGAAGCAGTCGAAATTCGAACTCTCTTGGCTGGTTCTGTGTCGGTAAATATTTCTGCACCACTAAATAAATGCAAAAAAAAAAACCCAAAATCATCACAGCAATTGAATTCACACACAAGTGCAAGGTCAGACTGCTAATGGAAGCAGAATAAAAGAAAAAAAAAAGTCGAATTTAAAAGTGCTAACCAGCAGGAAGTCTCATGTAAGAAGTGATTACATTTCTGTACCAAATCCATATGCATCAGTTAGTCAGACATCAAAGGAACAACACTCAAGAGATGAGGGTCAAAGTCCAAAATATTGGTTTCTGGCTTTTCTAGAAACATTAAGATTTTCTTCACCTCGTCTAGTCTGGCACAAAACAAAATATGCGAATCACAACTGACGACATTATGACAAGCTTGTTAACTATATCTTGGACAGGCGAGCATTTATCGAATATGAAAATGTACTTATCTTGATATAAGAACATATTCAATGGGTTTACCCTAAAGATATCTGCTAAACTCAAATTAAATAACCATGTATCAGATTATTTTTGTAAAGGCCACTTAGACAAGTATTTTGAATATTGCATCGTTTCTGCTGTATATATATATATATATATATATATATATATATATATATATATATATATATATACACATGTATGTATATACAGATACTTACATACAAATATATATATATATATATATATACATACATACACACACACATATATATATATATATATATATATATATATATATATATATATATATATATATATATAGTTTTACAGTGTGCTATATTTACGGCTTAGAATGTTCAATAACTAAGTATGTAAGCGTATGTAACTATAAAGGTGTATATTAAAGCTAGCAACACACACACAATAAATTTTTCGCGAATAATAAATTTGGAAAAATCTGTCAATTTAAAATTTGCTATATATATATATATATGTCTATCCATCTATCTATCTATCCATCTCTCTCTCTCTGTATATATATATATATATATATATATATATATATATATATTCTGTGTATTTTCGGAAAGATGCTCCCGATCTCCGAAACGAACAAAGACCGGTCAGTCGAGTAAAAGATAGCAATAGCACTTACTTTTATTTGCGAAATATATTGCCACTTTTTCGCGACGTATAACTTTCCTGTAGCATGGGTGGCAAGGTTAATAAGAAAAAAAAAAGAGATATGCAACTTCAGCGGTTACATAGAAATACTGTTACGTTTCCACTGTAATTATAAATGCTTAGTACATAAAATAACAAGCTTTTGTTTAGTAAGCATTTCAACAACACAAGGTAAGTACACTGCTACTTTCCTTTCTGCCCAACACTCTTTTTCTCCAAACATTCCCAAGGAGATGAATGAAAAAATAGATATGGAGGTATTCCATGTGCCTCACCAAGGACAATTAGTAATATTAATAAAAATTGTATTTTTTTTTTGTTATAATGTCGAGGCAACTAACAAAATAGGAGACTTGGCCCATCCATCTTCCGCTTCAGAGGAGTACAATCCGTGATAGTACCATTTTTATGTTGAAGGAGGCGGAGATGCGACACCCACACACGCGAAGTCAAAACAGTCATCACACCTATCACCGCATTGCAGATCTGATAGAGCCCAACACCATCCCTTTCCTCAAAAGACGAGATTTCAGGTAGGGTAGAGGTAATATATGTTGCAGGTACACCAGTAGGCTAGGGCATAGCTCCGACTAGATAATATGACAGCGACAGGTCAAGAGGAAACATGTCTCAAGAAGCGATCCTGCACGGCAATACTTCTCTGTTTGACCTTACCGAACCTGAGAACACTATCCTCTCCATTGAAAATCCCAAGAGCCCAAAAGTGCATGTGTTTAAAAGGGCTCTTGACTAGGACCACGTCCTCAACCCGTAGTCCGTTCTCTAATTGCACCCGAGAATGACCCTAAGGGCTTTCACTGAGGTTTAGCAGGTATTCAACGTAACACAAGGCCCTACATTTCTGCAGGCATCGGTTACGCACCTTCATGGTTAAGACGAGTCTCTCTCTAGCTGGCATGGAGAGAGCAAAATCCCTATAATTCAGGTTTAACAGCATCCCAGGATTCTCCTCTGGCCTCAAAAATATGTTAGGGGTTACTGCCCACAGCTCCCCCACCACAGATACCCGATAAATGGAATATCGGATTAATGGTTAGTAGGGTGCAATAATCTATTTCACCTCGGCCAACCATCTTGTGGGGGTAGATTTTGATACTTCATTCTCAGACACCACCAACCCAGGGAGAGGAAAGTCGAACAGGGCAGAATTTGATTCTGCTGAAAATTGTGGCACAACACCAACCTCTTGAACAGCTGGTCATCTACCAGGAAGGTCTTTGAATTGACATTGTAGATGGCGGTCAGAATGTAATGCAAGTTGGTAAAACGTATCTAGGACTGAAGAAAGGAGAAAACACCTATGTCCGGAACCACCTCAATATGCACTGTTTTGCCGCTGAAACATATGAAGATGAGCAAATGAAAAATCATCTCCCTACAACCTTCTCTAGGCCCCATGTAGTCAACTCCAGTATTTTTTAAGGGAAAATCCAGTTCCACCTGTGAACTGGGTAAAATGGCTGCGTTGGGAGGCAGGACCTGTCTGGCATTATACTTCCTGCAAAAGACACCCAGTAACAACGGCATCTGAGTTTAATCAAGGTTGACTCAAATCCCAACTTGACCTGGCAATCCGTTATAATGTGCTTGGTTATTGGGTGATGTTTAGCCAACAGGGTAGGATGTTTAACCTCAATTTCGAAGGGAAGTGACCTACCGATTCTTTCGCCTGACCCAATAAGGTCCTCTCCGTCAATGAACAGGTGAAGATCCCACACCAACCTCAAGGACATATGGCACAGTGGATAAAGGCGTTAGTTAGATCCAGTGACAGGACCCAAAGAGTGTGAGTTCAATATCCGGCAGTGGATAACTTGGAGAGGGTAATTAACAGGAGATAACTGATAACTGATATCAATTAAACATGGCAAGGGGAACTAGAACAGTCTACCCTAGTGAGCGAAATAGAGGGTTCAGTTCGACATTCCAACCACCTGAAGTAGGCCTGAGCCTACAACGGCCGAAACGTTGTAATAATTATGGCGAAAAAGATGAGGACAATAGTCCGAATAATGTAAATATGTCCATCTTTTTCTTTGTACTATTATTTCATGTTTTAGAATTTTAATCCTCATAAAATAAGCAGCGCTTAGAGTTAGTTCCTGCCAGTTCAAATTACTACAAAATCTAAACATTTATCTGAAAACACGAGACATGTTTTTTAAATTGCGTTGGCAAATTTACATTTTCATATAGATCAAATGCATGGCACAAAACCCGTTTACAAATATGTAAACTGCCAGCAGTATGAAACCGCTTACTCAGAGCAATGCTTATTAATTGCTTTGAGCGAGTGAAGCCTGTTAGTTTTGTAATGAGTTGGTCGGTCAACTTGACACCCCCAAAGTGAGTAGAGGTGTGTAGGCGCGGGAACTGTGATTGGTAGCTGGCTTGTTGGTGTTTTGCATAGGTGAGTTACCAAGCTCTATGTAAAGGGCTGGAATGAGAAGGAGGGCAGTTTCAGTCTCAGAAGTGGAGACTGTGTCTGTCGCTACGACAGCAGGAGAGAAAGAGACGAAATCATTTATTTTTTCGTGACACATTCCAACACAGGTTTAGGCGAAAAACCATCCTTGTCCGATCCTTGTTAAAATGACCAACCAATTAAAGTACGAAATAACAGATAAATCACATGACTTGAGGACTAAGAGCAGTAGCAACAACTAAAATGGATATAACATGTCACTGAAAAAAAGAATAATAACATAATCAAGATATTGAGATTCCAACCCACTTCAAACAAAAGGTTAGGAAGGAACAAGCTATTAACACTGGAGAGAGATATAACCGCTACTGAACTTCAAAACACTATTTTCCTGAATCTTTCTGAAAAAAAAATTATAAAATTTCAACCATCAGTAGTACTGACTGCTCGGTCAATGAATGCCAAATGTTTACTTATAGGAAAACATCTAATTACCATATACACTGTCGTAATTTCGATATAGCGAATGGCATTAGAATTTCTTGAGCTACAAAAATTCCATATTGTTATAAGAAAATAAAAAAGAATGCTGGTAGAATTACTATGACAAACCGTTGCACTTCCTAACCCTGATCTATTGACGCAATATTCACAAGACTCTCCTTCCGTCTGTTATCCAATTAGTTCTATTTTGTTTTGAGATACATAACACGTTCATTTCATGGGTTTGTGTTAATTTATTTATCTGTTACCAGTTTTGGTGTACTTATATCGATAATAGATACTGATGAAAGAAAAAAAACAATACTAATTATATGGTCTTAAAAGTGAAGGATATTCGAACACACCGACATGAATTTGATAGAGCAAGATTTGTTTCATAAAATAGACAAAGAACAGCTAAATGAATGGATAATTAAATCAAGTGAAAATACATCTGCCATTCTATGGTTTATGAGTCTAATTCGTGACGTTAAACAATTTCGTACAGCCGAAAGAGAATTTGTTTCTCGAACTGACATCGTATAGTGTTTGCAGCTGCCATGTTCGTTAAGATCTAAGCTGCTGCGACTTTCTAAAGATTCTTTTCATTAATAGCCGTGAATTGCCATGACTTATTAGGGTTGGTAATAACTTAATTTTTCGTTGCATTTTTCACGGTTTGGAAATCAGACTGGCACACCGTAAATAAAAAAAAAAAAATGTCCTGATTACACTGTTATTAATTCTATTATCTGTCGTGAATGAAAATGAACGAAACATGCTTTACTCAAAAGCCTTTATACATAAGTAAACGACACAGGCTAGCCAAGTTTGAGAACATCTTTTTATTTGTTTTTAATCATTTCACCCCAAGAAAGGCACGAGAGCCACTACAACGCAGTGGGGTATACAGTGTGAAAGAATATTTGAAAAAGAGAAACATTATTAAGGAGCGAGAACAATAAAAGTATAGGAATTAAGAAAACAGAAGATAACGATTGATATTTAGATTTTTGATGATTAATTCTTACTGGAAAATAAAAAAAATTACAGAGAGTTCTTCTAGAGGGAAGTGCGAGAAAAGAAGCTGTTAGCATAAAATTTTGGTTACACCTAACCATTTCAACTGTAATTTGATGAGACCATTCCGCCAATGTAGTACTGCGCTTAAATTCATAGTTCCATCAGAAGAAATACTATGAAAATATTTATGGAAAAGTCATAGGGAAACTATATTACAAAGATGGGAAGATAAATAAAAATAAGATAACAGTTCAGGAATAATAAACCCATATATTATTATATTATACTTTCTTCTTCTTCTTCTTCTTCTTCTTCTTCTTCTGTTGCTGCTGCTGTTACTGCTGCTGCTTCTGCTTCTTCTTCTCCCTCCTTCCTCTTCCTATTCTTCTTCTCCATCCTTCTCCTTCTCCTTCTTCTTCTTCTGCCTCCTCCTCTTCCTCCTTCTTCTTCTTCTTCTTCTGTTACTGCTGCTGCTTCTTCTTCTCCCCCTTACACTTCCTCCTCTTCTTCTTCTTCTTCCTCTTCTTTTCCCCTCCTTCCTCTTCCTCTTCTTCTTCTCGCTCCTTCTCCTTCTCCTTCTCCTTCTTCTTCTTCTGCCTCCTCCTCTTCCTTCATCTTCTTCTTCTTCTTCTTCTTCTTCTTCTGTTGTTGCTGCTGCTGTTACTGCTTCTGCTTCTTCTTCTCCCTCCTTACACTTCCTCCTCTTCTACTTCCTCTTCTTCTCCCTCCTTCCTCTTCCTATTCTTCTTCTCCATCCTTCTCCTTCTTCTTCTTCTTCTTCTCCTTCTTCTTCTTCTGCCTCCTCCTCTTCCTTCTTCTTCTTCTTCTTCTGTTACTGCTGCTGCTTCTTCTTCTCCCCCTTACACTTCCTCCTCTTCTTCTTCTTCTCCTTCTTCTTCTTCTGCCTCCTCCTCTTCCTTCTTCTTCTTCTTCTTCTTCTTCTTCTACTGCTGCTGCTTCTGCTTCTTTTTCTCCCTCCGTCCTCTTACTCTTCTTCTTCTTCTTCTTCCTCCTCTTCCTTCTTCTTCTTCTTTTTCTAATGCTGCTGCTTCTGCTTATTCTTCTCCCTCCTTCTTCTTCCTCTTCTTCTTTTTCTTCTTCTTCTTCCTTCCTCTTCCTCTTCTTACTCTTCTTCTTCTTCTTTTTCTCCCTCCGTCCTCTTACTTTTACTCTTCTTCTTCTTCTTCTGTTGCTGCTGCAGTTGCTGCTGCAGTTGCTGCTGCAGTTGCTGCTTCTTCTTCTTCTCCCTCCTTCCTCTTCCTCTTCTTACACTTCTTCTTCCCCTTCTCCTCCCCCTCCTCCTCCTCTTCTTCTTCTTCTACTCCTTCATTTCTCTTGTTTCAAGTCTCTTATTTATTTATGAGGAGATTGTGATTAGTATTTAGAAAAGAATTTTGAATTGTTTTGTATAACCTTGTTGAATTTTGTTTAAACGGATGTGCATAGACGACATTATCAGAATAAAAGATCAGTAACTATAGTAAATTTAAAATCACTGTACCTAGAATTCAATAAAACATAGATTACAGACAATTTTTTTTCTTAATCTGTAGTGTACGTGTGTCCGTCCGTCTGTCCGTTGTTCGATATTTACGCTGCGGCTCATGCATAAAATGCACTCACTGGCCCGTTCTAATTTATTCAAATGCTAATCACTAGATCAATAGAAGTATTAATATTCATCAGTTATTTACAGCATCGTTTTTACAAGCATAAATTCGCCCGAAGGATTTTTCTTCAAATTAATCATCTTTCTTTATCTTCTGTTTTTCTTTCTATATATATGTATATATATATATGAATATAAATAAATATGTAAATATATATATATATATGTATATATATATGTGTGTGTGTATATATATATATATATATATATATATATATATATATATATATATATATATATATATATATATATATCAATATATATGTATATATTCCATATATATATATACACAAATATATACACAGAGTAACACACACACACACACACACACACACATATATATATATATATATATATATATATATATATATATATATATATATATATGTATATAAAAGCGCTGTGTCGTTCTTTTCTTTAATCTAGGCGAATCTTAAACAATAAACAAGATAAAGTAACATGTTGTAACTACTGTAGTTACACAATTAAAAAATAAATAAATACCTCATTTAAAGTTAAATTTAAATACCGAACAGACTGAAAGGTTTAAAAATAATTTTCCATTTAAAGTTTAACTTTAATTTCAATTTCCGTTGCATCTACAATTGATATCATCTAATTAAACGTATTTAAAACTTAAGCGGGTCATGATATGTTGCTCGCATGTTTTTTTTTTCTTTTTCCAGCACTCGTACTACGACGTATTGGAAATATTTCATACTTCGGATTAACTAAGGTCTTTTAAGAGTGACATGAAGTGATCATAAAGAATGGTGATTTACAAAGAAAATAAAAATTGCGCACAAAATAAATGTAAACAAACTACGGAGTTCGGTTGCGTACACGAAGAAAGTTTATGCCGAATTAATGTGTGGAATAAAGATAAAATAATTTTATTACTTCTAAATTTTACGTACATAGGATTCTGAACATAAAAAGCTGAAGTCCCAAAAGCTCTCCGTAGTATTTAGCATAAAGTCTGCCCGGAGAACGGCTTATAGGCTAACTTTTAATATTTCTGCGTAGTTAAAAATTATATAAAAAACGCTCTCAAGGTATATTTCTCAAGTAATTTTTACAGATAAGGTCCCCGTAGATAAAAGATTTAGATAAAGTTCCGACTGAAAGCCTCTCAACGCAATCAAAACACCTACCTCCGTTTGAAAAATGCATTTCCGCGATATTTTAAACTAAAAGTTATATTTATTTCAAATCAGATTATTTAAACTTTAAATCAGCTAATATACCATAAACACAGTTTCAGAAAAGTAAGCAGACACGAAAGTATAAATATCTGGCAAGCGTTTTCCCACCGATCCGTAGGCGTATTGGGATGGCCATGGACGGATTCTAAAAGCTGGGCAGAGTACTGCGAGACACGAGGATTTCTTTGGCAACAAAGGAAAGACTACTGCGCTGTTACATGACATCTGTACTTCTCTACGGCAGCGAATGTTGTACGATTTCCTCAAAGATGAAGAAGAGACCCGAGGCGACGGAGATGTGGTTCTAAAGAAGGACGCTGAGGATTTCGTGAACCGAGTGCATGAGCAACAATAAGGTCTTAGAGAGGATGCAGTAGCCCAGCAGAACACCCACGTCTATGGTGTAACCGACCTCTACAATTTCTCCAAACAGATCGGGCCTTTTTAAATTTGTTTGATTTTGAACCCGGTGTAAGACACTGCATTAACTACTTCACAGAATATTCCTGAGTATAGTTAAGTATTAGTTCAAAATATTCTGAGGTTTATAATTAAGATAACCATACGAGATTCGGCTAAAAAGTTACTAGGCTGACCAAGATATAAATGCAAGTTGACTCACCAGTTTATAGACTAAAAATCTAGCAAGTGTACCAGAATACAGCAGCTGACCGACCACATGTATCTTTTTATGCTTGCATGTTTTAACTCAACCAAATTGTGTGTTTACTTACTGTTGTGGTAGGATCCACCTAATTTGCATAGTGGAGTACCGACCATATAAATATGGTTGGTACCGGGAAGACGGGGGAAGGAATCAAGAGATTCAATCCAGAGACTCTGCCCGACTGCGACTCAGTCAACACATTCTCCAGGAACGGTCTTCCCAAGAATATACAAAAGACTATATGTAAATATTGTGTACACTTTCTTGTTTCAATACATTTTGTTCTAAGTACATTTTGTGTTGTATTATTATTCCATGCATTAGTCAAGTTTCAACACTTACATTTATATCTTAGTTTTTTTAGTCGATCTTGTACTTCATACCTGGAGGTAAAACAATATCCCAGTCTAAAATATAGCCCTGCAAAGAAGTTTATAATCGCTTTTAGCATTGAAAATTACCGTAATAATTTTGATGGCTCCTGTCAACAAACTTGTAGCTATGACTGATGTAAACTCTTCTTCAAATTAAGTGGCACCCAGAGTTAGGCCAACTGGAGGGTGGTAGAATGCACGTAGGAAATCTCTGTAAATGCGTGACTTTGCATGATACGTTGTCTCTCCTACTAAAACAGGATTATGATTTTATCACGTTGAAACACCGGCCCCCCCTACGATCTACAAATTTAAGCAACGTCGAGCCTGCTCTGTACCGAGATGGGTGACAGCTTGCGATTACCAAAAGCTGTAAGTTTCGACGTGCTGGTGGTGCAAGGGATAATAATTCAAAATTGTTAATCGGGGAGCCAGTCAAAATATTTGTTAGGTTCATTATATTCACTTACGCGCAAATAACCTCAGTTTTGCGTAATTTAGGGAGACTTTCATCAGTAAGCAATTATTATCTCTCCACCAAAAAATTCCCGTCCTTGATTTGACGATAAACTACATTCGCGTCCTGGGTAAGACGATAAACTACATCCGGCAGCAAGGCTTGGGTGTTTTTTGAGGAGCGTGCAACAACCTCTTGATTGCTGGTGTTCCCAGGTCCACCCTGACCTGTTGTGGTAGCACCTGTTGGGGTCCAAAGCCATAGCAAATAGTCAAACCCAAACTAAGATTAAGACGCTATGCAAGTGTTAAAATAGGTTTTAGAACCATCAATAAATCTTTTAAATAATTTTTTTTTAAATTTATTACCAGCAATAAATTTTGTAGAAAAAAATTATTTCCAGCAATACATTATTACCAGCAATACATTTTTGAAAAAAGACAATATATTACCAGCAATGCATTTCTGAAATAAAAGAAAAATTATCAGCGAAACATTTTGGAAAACCTAAAAAAATTACCAACAATACATTTTTGGAAAAAATATTACCAGCATTATTGAACAAGAATATTACCAGCGATAAAAATCTTGTCGGTATTAAATAAACGATTGAGGTTGATATGCTGGTAAACAAAACAAAGCAAACCAAGCAAAAAAAATCTTAGTCTAAGAATATTTAGATAGTCAGCAAAGGGTTTAAATAACCTGCAAATCAACGTTTTAATCAACTAGATTATTGTCTTGGGGAGAACGTGGAGACTTAAAACTGACCTTACTCCTGATCGTGTTGCTCATCATGATGGACTGCATTTACTGAAGATTTTTTTTCTTTTGTTGCCACTGCTTCTTCTGATGAAGAATGGTAATATTATTCAAGTCTTCAGAAGCAGCAGCGCTAAAAAACCAAAAAAAAAGCACTTCAGTGAGTGCATCTAAGGATAACAAGCAGTATCAGCGCTTATTTCAATACGTTTTAAATTCCAAACGATTTTTGTAGCATTCATTTCCAGACAACTTTTCCAGCAATCATTTCAAGGCGTTTTTTTTATTTGTTTATACGGAAGCTCCTTGCTGTCCTTGATTTTAGTTAACCAAACACACCCATCTAAACTATAGCAAAATCTCGACAACCATACTGAACTCTCAATTGAAGCCAAATCATCTGACTGACCCTTTGAACGAAATATGTTCCATCATTAAGTTAAATCCGTGAACGCGGGCTCTTGAATAAGAGAGGAAACTACTTTGGAATTCAGCCCAAATGTTTGTATTTACGTTTTTCAATCCTACCATCTGAACTGCTTTGAGCGTTTGCAACGTGAAATTTAGTTCCGAGGGTGTATTCGTAGTAGTTCGAGTTTACAGACATGAATCGATGATAGATAGAAAAAAAAACGATCTGGAGGCAGTGGCCATTTTGTTTAATCATAGTTGTTTTCCGGCGGAAGTAGCAATTATTACGTCCGCACTCGGCGACCATTACAAATGCCTCTGAGCATGTCCAAGTCATTTCCTTGTTCCACGTTTACGTATCCGGGTCAAGACGTGGGAAGATAATTGAATGTATCTTTAGTCCATCACGTTGCCTATCACAGCCTGAACTGGATGCAATGGTAACTTTTGATCTGAATTTTTCATTATATAATGTTAGATCTATATGATCTATGAAGAAATGATGCTATAAACACATTGAAAACGAAAATTGTTTTTGAGTAAAATGAATGTTTTATGCATTATTAGGCTACGGACTTTATGATGTACCTTCGTGAGTTTGGACCACTACATAGATTTTCAGGCTGATTTTGGAATGGGCTGAGAGCAGACGAAATGCTCTATCTTATTTTATTTTCTATTTCGAGCATTCTGAATGTAAAAATAAAGAAAAACGTGTGCAAGACAATAAGAAACACTACCTGCTAAAAAAAAGTGAAGTTTTGTTGAAATCGGTTGAAAAATGTAGGAAAT